AGAAGATGCAGATGACATGTGACTAAAGATGGCAACATGTGTACGGAAGGTGGCTGCAGAAGTACTTGGTGTGAGTAGGGGAGGCAAGCAGGATGCGAAAGACACTTGGTGGTGGAATGACGAGGTGCAGAGGACTATTCAGGAGAAGAAAGAGTGTTTCAAGCGTCTCCATCTCGACAAGAGTGCAACCAGCATTGAGAGCTATAAAACAGCGAGGAGGGCTGCAAAGCGTGCCATGAGTGTAGCGAAGGGTCAGGCTTCTGAGGACCTTTATCAACGCCTAGGCATGAAGGAAGGGGAGAAGGACGTGTATAGGATATCGAGGATCCGAGAGAGGAAGACAAGGGACATCGACCAAATCAAATGCTTCAAGGATGGGTTGGATCGGCCATTGGTGAAGGATGGAGAGATCAAGGATAGATGGCGAGAGTACTTCGACAAATTGTTTAATGGGGAGAGTGACGATCCTACCCTGGAGTTGGATGACTCATTTGAGGATACCAATAGACGTTTGGTGAGGAAAATTCAGGAGGCAGAGATCGGGGAGGCTATGAAGAAGATGAAGGGAGGTAAAGTAATGGGCCCTGATGGTTTCCCCATTGAGGTGTGGAGATGCTTGGGCGTCAGAGCGTTAGTATGGCTAACTAAGCTTTTTAACCTCATTTTTCGGTCAAAAAAGATGCCTGATGAATGGAGGAGAAGTACTTTAGTATCGATCTTCAAGAATAAGGGTGATGTTCAAAACTGTGGTAACTACCGTGGGATTAAGTTGATGAGCCATACGATGAAGCTTTGGGAGAGGGTTACCGAGCATCGTTTACGACGAGTGACGAATGTGACCCAAAACCAACTTGGATTTATGCCTGGAAGGTCGACCATGAAGGCGATTTTCCTAATTCGTCAGCTGATGGGGAGATATAGGGACCAAAAGAAGGACTTGCACATGGTCTTCATCGACCTTAAGAAGGCTTATGACAGAGTACCGAGGAATATCATGTGGTGGGCTTTAGAAAAGCACAAAGTCCCATCTAAGTACATTACCCTCATCAAGGATATGTACAAGGATAAGATGACGTGTGTCCGAACATGTGGGGGCGATACCAGCGACTTCCCAATTAAAATAGGACTCCATCAGGGGTCAGCACTGAGTCCTTATTTATTTGCCTTGGTGATGGATGAGGCCATAAGGGACATACAAGGTGATATCCCTTGGTGTATGCTATTTGCTGATGATGTGGTGCTAGTTGACGAGAGTAGAGCAGGGGTAAATAAGAAGTTAGAGCTGTGGAAGGACACGCTAGAGTCGAAAGGCTTCAAACTTAGTAGGACGAAGACCGAGTACATGACGTGCGCCTTCAGCATTGCTACTCATGATGATGGCGATGTTAGCCTTGACGGGCAAGTAGTGGCCAAGAAACAGACTTTCCGGTATTTAGGATCGATGCTACAAAAGGAAGGCGGCATTGATGAAGATGTTAGGCATAGAATTGCAGCCGTTTGGTTGAAATGACATCAAGCTTCAGGCGTTCTCTGTGATAAGAGGGTGCCACAAAAGCTAAAAGGTAAGTTCTATAGGAAGACGATTCGCTCGGCGATGCTATACGGTGCTGAATGTTGGCCTACAAAAAGGCAACATGTCCAACAAATAAGTGTAGCAGAAATGCGTATGTTGCGCTGGTTTTGCGGGCACACAAGAAGTGATAGAATCCGGAATGAGGATATTCGAGATAGGGTCAGAGTGGCTCCAATTGAGGAGAAATTGGTCCAACATCGACTGAGGTGGTTCGGACATGTCCAAAGGAGGTCTCCTGATGCACCAGTGTGTAGGGGAGTTCTACAGCGGGTCGATAATGTTAAGAGAGGTAGAGGTCGGCCTAAACTCACTTGGGAAGAGTCGGTTAAGAGAGACCTTAAAAATTGAAATATCTCCAAAGATTTAGCGGTGGATAGGAGCGCTTGGAGGCTAGCGATCTACGTGCCGGAATCGTGACTTTTGCTCCAATTTTTTATTCTTTTTTTCATTTTCTTCCATTTCTTTCATTTCTTTTTTCTTCCTTTTCTATGTCTAATTTCTTTTTGTTTTGCTTTTTTTTTTTACCACCGTTTCTCTTGGGTTTCATCTCTAGCCTAC